TATATTTTATTATTTATTTATTTTGAAAACTCATAAAATTTCAGAAATTAGGAAAAGTATTAATAAAATATAATATAATATTTTAAATACGAGAAAAATTTATTTAAATACGTATCAAAATTCACGGTTGTTACACATTTGATCCACAAAGACTCTTTGTTTGTATGAATATACCAAAGAGTTCTTAAGGCAGATGCATTGTTCCAAATTGCTGTTGAAAAAATCCCTAATCCACCAAACTTCTTTCCAAGACATATTTTATCCCAAGATACTAGTGGTGTTTTGTAGATATGATCATTTTTCCCCCACAGAAAATTTTGACTCAACTCATCAATCTTCTAGAGGACTCTTATTGGGAGAACATAGCTAGAAGTCCAGAAAATTTGAATTCCAAGTATGACACTTTTAATAATTTGTAACCTACCAGCATAAGATAGGTTTATGTTTTTTGACCAGGCTTGGAATTGGCTAGTTATTTTTGTGAACAATGGACTGCAATGAACATATGATAGTCTCTTGCTTATTAGAGGAACCCCGAAGTATTTTATTGGAAATGTACCTTCAGAGAAGCCAGCTGGTCATGATGAGTTCTTCCCGCCCCCCCCCCCAAATAAAAAATAGAATATTTATTTGGATTACCTTCTAAACCAGAGGTTGTACTAAAGTTTGAGATACATTGATATAGCCTCTGAACTGAATATGGATCCCCATTGCTGAATTGGAGAAGGTCATCTGCAAAGATCAAATGACTGATCTTAAATTTTCCACACTTAGGGTGAAATTTGAATTTTCTATCTTGCTTCAACTGGTTGAGACTTCTAGAGAGATATTCCATGCCAAGAATAAACAATTATGGAGACAAGAGATCTACTTGCCTTAAACCCCTTTCACCTTTAAAATATCCATGGAGAGAGCCATTTAGAGAGATGGAGTATTTCGGAGAGGTTATACAGATTATGATCCATTTAATCATGCTGCTAGGAAAGCCCAGGCCAGATAACATCTCCTCAATAAAACTCTAACTGGTTGTATCAAATGCCTTCCTTATATCAATATTCAACATGATTCTTGGAGATATATGCTTCCTTCCATAGTTCTTTATGAGTTCATGAGCTAGCATGATATTATTAGTAATTTGCCTCCCTTTAACAAATGCACTTTGAGCCTCACTTATAAGATATCCCATGACAGTTTGAATTCTGCTTGCAATGATTTTGGAGATAAATTTGTAGAGGCAATTACAGCAGGATATAGGCCTGAAATCAGAATGATTTTTGGGACAATTTACCTTTGGAATGAGTGATATGGAAGTAGAGTTGATTGCACCCAAAAGTTTTCCTGTCTTGAAAAAGTCTTCAATGGCTTGTGTAACTTCATCAACAATTATTGACCATGAAGTTTTATAAAAAGAGGCAATAAAACCATCTGGACCTGGAGCTTTGTTGTCATGAATTGAGAAAACTGCTTTTCTAATTTCCTCTTTAGAGATTGGAGCTGATAGATTCCTAGCTCGAATTGCATCTAGTCAAGGGCCATCCTTAATGATATTGATATCAGGTTTATCAGTTGCTATAGCAGTCCCCATGAGGTTCTTATAGAAAGATATTAATTCATTCACAATATCATCCATTTTTTGTGATTCTGACACCCAGATTGTTGTAGAGAACTGTAACTCTATTATGATGTCTATTTGTTTTAACAACAGAGTGGAAGAGGCTAGTGGATCTATCTCCTTGAAGTCTCCATGCTATTCTTGCTTTCTGATGATAGAAGAACATCTCACATGCCAACAACTTATTATATTAAGAGATAAGATTTTTTTTTTCCTGACTGATATAGTTGGAATTTATAGGATCTTCCTGCAATTTCTTCTGAATATCCTCTAAAGCAAGTTTAGCTTTTTGAACCTGTATGCTAATATTGGAGAATGGACTCTTGTTGAGGTCTTTAAAAGCCTCCTTCAACTATTTGAGTTTTGCATTAACTGAAAACTTATTATGCCCCTCAATGTGCTTTTGCCATATAGTTGAAACTGTGGGAAGGATTTTTTTCGTGCTTTGTCCATATTTTGAAGAATTTAAAAGGTAAAAATAAGAAAGACGAACATTAAGTCCATTCCAAATGTAGTTGATTTGCATGTAAGGGCAACCCAATCTCATTGATTAATAAGATGCGAGAGAATGTTCTTGGTGTCAAAAGTCCAAAGTGCTGAAGTAGATGATGGAAGCGAATTGGAACAATAATGGATGAGAATAGGATCACAAAACTAAGAGCGTAAGAACAGTGGAGAAAGATGTGGTCATTGGATGCATGATCATTATTAATTAAGACACAAATAGATTTATCAGGCCAATTTCTCTTGATCAGATTATCGGCAGTAAGCGAAACATGAAAATTTTCACCTTGAGCGGAATCGGGCCATATATTTGATAGAGAGATGGTTCAAAAGAATTGTTGTTGATGGAACGGTGGGGTGATTTAACCGTGAACACAATTTTTGTATTAAACTTCCAAAATCCAACATCTGAACCAATCCAAATTGAATTAAAAAAAGAGAAAAAGGCCGTAAATAGGATTTGCTGAGCTAATGGAGTAATCAAGGTCCATTTCCTCTACCAGCTCCAGTTATCGAATATTTTTATCAGCATCTTCTTTGAACCGTAAACAAGCAAACATGTGTATATAGTATATGCCTCATCTCAAGAAGATCAGTCCCATGTATGTGTTGGATAGCAGATTCCTAATCTGTTTTGGTAACATGTTATTAGGATTCCTAATCTATTTTGGTAACATAATTCTTAATCTGTTTTGGTAACAGGTTATTAGGATTCCTAATTTGTTTTGTTTTTTGTTTTAGAACTCCTAGTCTGTTTTGATTTTAGGTTTTCTATATATATGGAACGCCTTAGAAGAGATTATGATTATAAAAAAGAGGAGAGTTGTAATCAGAGATTAGAGAGACTTTTGAGCATTGTGAGAGGGAGATATTGTGGATTAGAGAGACTTTTGAGCATTGTGAGAGGGAGATATTGTGAGCAAGTTGAGAGCTTTGGTTGAGGGTTAGTATTGTGAGCAAGTTGAGAGCTTTGGTTGAGGGTTAGTTTGTGAGTTTTGTGAGATTGTAATCCTTTGTATTCTCATTGATTTAGTAGAATCTTCCCATCCTCTCCCCGTGGACGTAGGCAAATTGCCGAACCACATATATCTTTGATATTATGATTGATCTGTCGTATTTCAGTTTTGGATTGTGTTCGTGTGTGATTGGTTATTCTTCTCTCGTGCTTACGACTTGTTCGGTGAGCGAGCACGCTTCCGCATAGGCGCGCGACGGTATGTTCTGAGAAACAAATCATATCAAGTCTATGATGTTTAAGAGATTAATTATGAGCTACTAGTAATAATGGAAGATTTTAGTGTGAGCAATAGAATTAGCTTTACCAAGCAACATATTAAGCCTTTTCTTAACATATAAACCAAAAAGAGACTTTTCTTAACATATAAATTAATAATGTAGAATATAGATAAACAGATATTCAATACAAGATGTTCACTTCTAAAGAAGGTTTTATGCTAATACTCGTGCACCACAGAAGAATTTTCAGTTAGGTAAAAAGATTAATTCTTAACTATGCTACTATCATGATTAATACAACCGTCTATTAAAAAGACAAAAATAACCTCTACATATATCACCCTGCGCATTTCTGTATCTCAACCGTCCATATCACAGTAGATTGCTGCGATTCAACTTGCCCATTAGTTTAACACTTTAGCCAAACACTCGAGACATAGCTGAACACCCCAAAATCACTTTTCCCATAAACTATATAATAAGTGTATATATAATTATTAAGTTAAACCGCTCTACTCTTTACTCACTGCCTCAATCACAACCGTCCATAACACAACGTATGTCTATGATTTAACTTGCACATCATGAATTGAACACTTGGTCAACACATCACCAAAATTTTACCCATACAGACACTCGAACAAGCCTGAAATTAAACTGTCCCCTAAAACTATATAATATAATATATCTAGATACTTATAACTTAGACCCCTCTGGAAGCACAAACTCCATTTAGTACAGCAAAGAGGGTAAATTTTCACAAAAACCCCAAATGTATGCTTTTTGGTTTGTTCTTGCCGGAAAAGTTTGGAAATATCGTTTAACCTCCAAAAAGATTTCAGACATCTCCGAACCGAAAATAGATTCAGAAAAGTATAAAAGTAATTTCGATGATCGAGTCACATTTCCAAACTTTTCCGGGTGTTTTAAAGTAGCGCAGACTTAAAGGGGGGTTTTCGTAAAAATTTACCCGCAGAAACCGCTTACGTAACTCGACTCCCACTTCCCGCCCTCTGCTCCGCGTCCTTTCTTTTTCCCAAACTCATCGAAGCCGATCAACTGTCAGCTCCGCGCCGTAACAGAAAATGCACCGGCCTGCGTCGGCTGCAGATCTCGATCACAGTTCCACCTCTCAAAGTTTCCAGCCTACAGTCGATCTGCCTCTCAGAACGTCACCATCACCTCACTCCTTCTCCCTCCATTTCGCGGGCCCCATTCTTTCCATCTCCTCCTCCCTCCTCCGTTTATAGCGCCCGTCAGCTCCACTCCTCGCATTCGCCTCACCGTCTCTTGAACAGTCCGCTTCTGCCTCGGATATCTCCTTCTCGAGACGGATGTTGTTCCCTGCACGCCGTCGATGCGAGGCGAGCTGGTCGGGGAGAGGCTGGTAGAGATCCCGTGGCGGGCGGGAGCCGGCCGAATGATCTTGTCGAGTGGGAATCGAGCTGGAGCGGCCGGATTGAGTACAGGAGTGGAACGCGACGGAGGGGCGCCGCAGCCCGCCTTCCCGAAGGAAGAAGATTCTCCGCCGAGGGACGTCCACGTCCGGGAGAACATCGGGAGGACGTTTAGCTTGGCGGAGGCGGAAATTCTGCTGCGGTAGTACGATCGTATGGGTACAACGACGCGATCTACAAGCGGGCGGAGGATGAGCGTCGTCCTGGTTTCTTGGCTTCGGCGGCGGCGGAGGGAGGAGCGAGGTCCTGGTCGAGCTGGTGGAGCAAGTGCTCGAAGGAGCGGGCGAAGGGCTCGCCCGTTGCCGGTGGGCGCGGTGGAGGCCGTTGGCGGCAAAGACATGTCGGTGGTGGGCCGGGAGGAGGCCATGAGGAAGGGGGTTTGGGAAGGGTGGTGGGGGGTTTAAATCAGGAAGAGGCGAGGGAAGAACGTTTGGGGGTTTGCGTGGGGGCAAGGATTGGGCGGGGGTGGGAGGATGGATCTGGCGGTTTGGTGGGGCCGCGCTGTATTGATAAGAGGGGGCGCTGTCTGTTTGCGGAGTGGTCGGGGGGAGGTGAACGGAGGCCCACTTGGGCTCGTTGCTTGGTTCCTTGCCCATGAAGGATAGCAGGGATTATAGAAGATGTTTTGGACTTTTGCGTTAAAACCACTGCGCTTGCGTTAGCGTTGGCGAGTAAAGTAAGAAACAATGGATTCGGATCATCACCCCTGTCTAAAAGTCAGTGGATGGACCGTTATATAATCACAACTATTGATTATCTAGTTGGTGGTTGTGATTTTTTTTTTAAATGCAAATTAGGAATGATGGCAATACACATGAGTATGATGAGTGTTAGATTTAGATTGTATCATAATCACCTACTAGATAATCAACGATTGAGATTAAAAGTAGTGATCTCTCCACTACTTTTTTGTAGTGAAGAGGATCCAAATCCAGAAACAAGCTCGAATTATGACTCGAGTCTATCCTGGCAACGAAAACTATGTACCGATAATATTCGTATAATTACGGGGATAAAAGGCACACTGATCAAGCAGGGAAGAACTAACTAAGAAGCATATATGCATACATATATATTTTAATACACGACGGAAGAAAAACTGCTGACAGCCTACATCCCGAAGAAGCTGCTATCAAACGATCGATACTACGGATCGTTTGGTTGAAATAAGATAAGGGTTGAAGTGAATACTGTAGACAATTGTTTTTATTTATTGTTTGGTGAGTAATCGAGTTTTTATTTTGTAGAAAAACTTGCAACGTTTCATGTAGTCAATTTGATTGCAACAACGATGTAAGTCATCTTATAAATTTAGAAATTAAAATTAGTGCCACGTCACCAAATTAGTTGAACGAAATCATAAAATGTAGCTCGTTTTATAATAGCTGATGCACAACAATTTGATTTATTGTGAAAAATAAAGTTTTTTTTTGCAACAAATACGTAAATCCACTTGCTTCTAGAACTAACACAAAATTAGATTTTTAAATTCATAAATATATCTTCTACCAACATAAAGATAAAAAAATAAATTTAAGTTATTTAATTTCCTGCGAAAAATATCATATTAACCAATTGTTTCGTATACACTAATAGATACGGAGTTCTAAATATCTAAAGGGTAAAAAATGTATATGAGCTGACTACTTATTTTGCAAAATGAGCTATCAATTAATGTCAATAGTGTTTAGACTCACCTACTTGTCACATCGGATGGGTGTGGGGTCTTATTTTTGTGAGTGAGTAGCTCTTTTTACAAGAAGAGAGGTCAGCTCACACCTATTGTCCTCATAGTCATATCTAAATTCTATGGGATAGGATACATTGTAGATAGAGTAAATGCAATTTCCAACCTAGCTAGCCATTTAATCGCCATGAATGGTATAGACCATTCAAAGGAATGTTCTGATAGAGTATTTTCTCTGGGGGGTTATTCATTGGTGTAATTTTTAGGATATTGGGATAATTTTGGGAACAACAATATTTGGTGTTATTCATTGGGGTATTTGGATTTGAATTGAATTGTATGATGTTATTAGTTTGTTGGGATAAATGGGGAACAACTACCCCCACTTCCCCCAAATTTACCCCTACTATATAAGCACTCCTCACCCCCACCCTCAAAATTACCCAATTTTTTTTGCTAGAACAAGATGGGAACATAATTGCCCCACTTCCATCTCCTCCTCGCTGCGCTCCTCTCTCCGCCTCGGCCTCATCCTCCTCTCCCCATAGCCCGCCGAGCTCCACCTCAGACGCTGAACCCCTGCTCCTCTTCACCGAAGCCCCTTCACCGCCTGAGCTCGGCCTGCCACCTCACTCCCTCGGCCAGACTCGCTGACCCCCACCGAGGCCATCGCCTCCTCCATCCACTGCCACAAGCTCGCGACCTCCGACCACCCGAGCCTCCCCCCACTATCCCTGCTCCTCCCATCACCTCTGCCTCGCTCTCCCCCATCTTCCGCCGCTTCCACTGGGCAGGTATAAAACATGTTTGATCCTTTTATGTTGATTTTTGTGTGGATTAATTGGTTTTATTTGGGGAAATATTGGTTGATATATCATGTTCAAATTAAGATTCGTGGCTATGAGAATTATAGGAGAAGGCTTCATTGTGATCTTTTAATTGCCTTAGATTTTTCTTTTGTTGTTGTGCCGAAAATAATAGTGACTGGAATGCATCATTGTGATGGGGGTGAAGGAAAGGGAGTTTGGTAGGAAATTGGATTTGTAGAAAATGAGTGAACGAGTAGAATGAGGAAGGGATGTGAGTTGGTGAACAAGGAGGGAGCTTGTGTTTTCTTGATGATGATGATGATGATGATGATACACTTTTGAGGATATTATTATTATTATTATATTATTAATATTGAGCTGATTGATGTAGTATCCCAATTGCCCCATTATTCGAATTTATCTCATTATCCCAATTTACCCCATTTTATCCCACTCAAATTATCTCATTGGATAAAAGTATCTCATTAGAACAATTTAACCCAATTTGCCCTAAAATACACCAATGAATAACCCCCCTGGGTGTAACGTAGCTCGACAGAAAACTGACAAACGCCAAATTAGAGTGGGTCATATGCCGCCGCGCGCGGCGAGAAACCACGTTAGAGCATGGGCAGCGAGCTCCCATCTCCGCTCTCAGCTCCGACGTGGCCAAGCTCCCAGATTGAACCCCCTCCAACAGCCTCCGAAGCACTCCCAACGAGCTCCCAAGCGCTCCACAAATTTGTGGAGCGCTTGGGAGCTCCCAACTGGGGGAGGATTTACAAAAACCCCCCTCCAAAATCAGAAATCGGGGTCTTTCGTCGTTGATTTGGGGATGAGGGCTTTTGGGTCTGTCGTCGTTTGGGGATGAGGGCTTTTGCGGTGGCGGTGGCGTTCGGAGACTGCGATGGCCAGCTGGGGTTGGGTCGGAGACGATGGTGGCGAAGGGAGAAGAGTTGGGGTTTGGTCTGTCGAAGATTTGGGGATGAGTGCTTTTGGGTCTGTCGAAGAATTGGAGCTGGGGTTGTCGAAGGAGAAGAAGGATTTTGTGAATTTTTTTTTTAAATGGATTGCGATCTTTGATTTGGGGAAGAGGGCTGTTTGATTTTGTCGAAGAATTGGGGCTGCGGTTGAAGATTTGAGCTGCAGTAATTTTTTCTTGTTGATAATCGAACGTTGTGGAATATTGACGTTGTGAATATTGACGTTGTGGAAAATATTACCGTTGGGAATATTGACGTTGTGGAAATATTAACGTTGTGAAAATTCAAGCTGTTGAAAAAATTACTGTTGTAAAAAACATCTATAAATTCACATCTCACTACTCAAAATATTTCACACAACTCTCTCATAAAAAAAACTCAATATATCCCTATCAAATTACAAATCTTATGGATCCCTCACAAAACTATTATTCGCATCTCCTTACCGGTGAAGGATCGACCTTATACTCGCCGTTCTATACAGAAGTCGGAGAAGAAGGTCATCCCATCGAGTTCTCGCAATCCGCAACACAACAAGTGTCATCCCAAGAAACACCGACCACAAAGAAGAAGAAGGCTTACACGCGGTCCGAAAATTGGACTGTCCACGAGGATAAGCTTCTTGTGTCTGCTTGGCTGAACACGAGCCAAGACGCCATCCAAGGTACGGGGCAACACAAAGATAAGTTTTGGCACAGAGCTAACAACTACTTTATCCAATACTCTGTCGATCCAACGAGTCGCACGCCAAACCAAATGATGCATCGTTGGTCAACGATTCAATTGTCCGTCAACAAATTTTGTGGGTGCGTTGCTCAGATTGAAGGAAGACAAAGATCTGGTACGGGAATTATTGACCAGGTAAATATTTAACTTATATGTTTTTATGTAAATATTTAACTTATATGTTTGATTATTCTAAATTTAACTCTTGTGTAGACTGCAGAAGTAAAAGAATTATACCAATCCCTTTATGGTAAGCCATTCGTGTTTGACCATTGCTGGGTTGAGTTGCGTCATCACCAAAAGTGGAGCCAACAAATGGAAAATTACAATAAGATTCGATCACAGCCGAAAGAAACAAGATGACGATATCATGAAGATGGATCTCTCAACACTCAATTCAGTTCAACGACAATACTTTGAAATGCGTCAGGCAGAGATATTGGAGAGGTGGATGTCCAAGGGTTCTTCCTAATTATCATATATTGTACTCGCATCGCATCCTCATTAGTTCTTCCTAATTATCAAATATTATCTTATATTAGATTTATGATTGTACTTGAAGTTGAAAAATTTGGCATTGAATGAAAATAACTACTTTATTAAAAATGAAATTGGCGTAGTACAATAACTTGAACTCCTTTTCTGAAATTACATTAGACATAAAGAACCTTAATCCTCGGCGATGGATCCCTTGAGCTGCCACAGATGCTCGATCAAATCATTTTTTAGTGATTTGTGTGTTTGCGTGTTCCTGATCCGATGATGATTTTGGATGAACTCAGTTAGAGGCACCGTCTGCACATGAGAAGGTTCAACGACTGGTACCGAATCAGTAAAGTCGAAGTTGTTGTCCAATTGACAATCACGTTCATCTTCAACGATCATGTTATGCATTATGATACAAGCTGTCATGATATCTTTCAGCACACAAGGTTGCCAGAAACGTCCTGGTCCACGAACAATCGCAAATCGAGCTTGCAACACGCCAAAAGCTCGCTCAACATCTTTTCTTGCGCTCTCTTGTTGTTGAGCAAAGTATTTATGCTTATTTCCTCGTGGTGCTGGAATAGTCTTCACTAATGTGGACCACTCTGGGTAAATCCCGTCGGCGAGATAGTATCCCATATTATACTCGTGGCCATTGACAGTATAGTTGCACGGTGAAGCTCTTCCCTCCGCAAGTTGTGCGAAAACCGGTGAACGATGTAGAACATTAAGGTCATTGTGAGACCCCGGCAGTCCAAAGAAGGCATGCCATATCCAAAGATCTTTGCTAGCTACGGCCTCCAAAATAATTGTGGGTTCATGAAAATGTCCAGTATACATACCTTGCCAGGCAGTTGGACAGTTCTTCCATGTCCAGTGCATGCAGTCGATGCTCCCAAGCATACCAGGAAAACCTCGTTGTGAGCCTTCCTCGAGCAGGCGTGCAACGTCTTCATTAGTCGGTGCATGAAGGTATTCCTCTCCAAAGATGTTGATAATCGATCGAACGAACCTCTTCACGCTCTCAAGCGACGTACTTTTACCGATCCGAACGTAGTCGTCAACGGCGTCAGCGGATGCTCCATATGCGAGCATCCGCATAGCTGCAGTAATCTTTTGAAGACTAGATAGTCCTAACTGTCCAGCACCATTCCTCTTTTGGACGAAGTACTTGTCATGTTCGACGACTGCGTCGTGGATTCGAAGGAATAACGAACGCCTCATTCTGAACCTTTGACGAAAATAATAAAGAGGATAGGTTGGTGCGTCAGCAAAATAATCTTGGAATAACCGATTGTGGCCTTCCAGTCGGTTTCGATTGAGCACGATACGTCGTTTGTGTTGAACTGAAGTTGAAGATTTCTCTTGTTCTTCTTCCTCAACGACAACAGCTCCCATAAGAAAGAACTTCTTCATCATTTCATCATCGCTAGAGCTAGATGAGCTAGACATTTTATTCTGGGAGATGATGGGTTGAGGAGAGAAGCCGTCGAATTTTATAGGAATCAGTCGGTTGACGGTCAAAGTTTGCGATACCTCGAACTTCGTGCCCAATCTCGAAGACCGCGGGTTACCTCGAAGACCGTGTGCGTTACCTCAAAAGCCGCGGGTTACCTCGAAGACCGTGTGCGCTCCCTCGAAGACCGTGGGTTGCCTCGAAGACCGTGTGCAACGGTTAGAAATAAAATACAAGAGGTTTAAATATAATTAAAAGTAATGGGTGAAATATTAAAATAGAAGAGGGGTTTTTTTGATATTGTTGGAGCTCCTAACTAGGAGCTTGTTGGAGCTCCATAAAAGAAGGAGTGCCTCCCAAGGTATAATTTATTAATTTTTTATTTTAAAAAGCTTGAGAGCTCTTGAGAGCATGCTGACTAGGACTCCCAACTGGGAGCTTGCTGCACTTGCTCTTATATCCTGCTCCCTGCATTAGGAACTTGGAAAAGTTCTGGTTATCTGAACGTAACAGTGAGCGCCTATGTATCAATTTTCTATTCCAGAAACAAAATATCGGGCGCTCCAGAGTCCGACGTCGCTCCGCGCGCGTACGCGAATGTACATGCGACACACAAGAAAGCCAAACTTGCCATTATTTGCTCCCATCCTGACCACTAAGCATAAACAACTGAAGAAGGACAAAAATAAAATAGGAGTTTAATTTAGTTCTTAATTTTGTGCTTGACTTTTTGTTCGCGATAAACTCGTAGTCGAACAGTTTATCCTTTTGCGAAAGGTTCATCCTCTGCTAGTTAATGTGTTTTATTTCTTTCTTTAAAAAGGGTTATTTAAATATCACTCCTTCAAATATTCAATAATTCAATATCTATACACTACTATATATTAAAAACTTGGGGATTGTTTAGCAACCTTAAAAAACTCGGCCATGTTTGAACCTGGTTCAATTTTAAGATATTTTCTGATTTGAAAAAAAAATAGACCACTAATGGCCTAGTTTTCTTCAGTTCAATTTTAGAGGTTTTAACTAGTTTAATTGCGGACCAGGGGGAGCTGATCTACAACTAAAATCATATGTGGCCCATTTTTAGTAAGTTGTCAAACACACCCCTAGTAATGATAGGAAAAATTAAAGGATATAGGAAAATGTCCTTCATCTCACTAAAGACATGAGGATAGCATGGTCATTTCACGCAATTTTTTGCTTTTGTTTTTTCTCTCTTTATTTAGAACATTCTAAAGCAAGGTCATAAAACTTACTAACTAAATATATATTTTATTATATATTATAAAATGATAATATTGCCCTGATTAGCCTCTCACAAGGAAGTGAGAGTCCGTTTCTGAGGTATTTCTCTTTTGAGACTTATCCCCAACCCGATAGTACAACTCATTGACATTATGGCCGGAGCAACCTATTGGCTGTTTATCATGTATAACATCATCTTCTTCTAGACATGTTTTCTTCCGAATAAGCAATGCCTTGTTGGCGTTCGCAGGAGTCACACGTTTGGAATTATACCTTTATGAGGGTGAAACTCTAACGGGCTTCTGGTTTTTCACACGTACTTCCAAGAGGGTGGTTACGAGAATCAGTTTGTTAGAAGGTTGCGTACGACCCCCAGTTTGGATATTTGCTTGGGAATCATTCAACAGACCCAAGCGTTCCTTAACAGGAGCTTTACCTCGATCTTCAGGTAGAGGACCAAGGCGATCATTTAGCGGAATTCTGAACTTGGAGAGATTCACGCTACCGTATGGCTTCACCGGAGGTGCGGGAGCAGAAGGAGCGTGATCTAAAATTGATGAAGGCTAGGAAGCATCCTTGGAGCTGGAATTGAGTGAGAGACACAAATGGTGTCTCTTGTCAGGTAGATGCGTCTTAGCTATTTTCGGTGCAGTTGTAGGCGCTGTTTTGGCATTCGGTACCCAAACCTGCTTAGATCTTGTTGGTTCTTTGACCTCTTCTTTTTGCAACTCTTGTGCCTTTTACACAAGGATCCGGACATCGGAATAAGTGCGCGGCGCTTCTGGATGCGCTCCTCGAGAGTAGAACGGGTTCGTTTGACACGAACCTATTTGTTAGTTGGCGGTTGAGAGGAGGATCCCGATGCTTGTTGTGGCGACGACTTAGCATTGGCACTTTCTGAACTCTAGATTTGCTTGGTAGCAGAATTTGTCTACTTGCTCTAAAACCTTGATGAATTGTTAGGCAAGACGTTGGCGACGCCTCTGACGATCCCTCTTCATCAGCACTGGTGCGCTTTCAGCGGGCAATTCCTTAACTTTTGAGGAGTTGTGGCGAGCACCGGATCTAATTTCTTTGGACGCTGGAGAGGAGTCTTCAACAACACTTGGGTGAAGATTGTCACCGTGAGTCCTCAGATCTGAAGATCAACGAACCTTCTTGAGGGAAGTGGTCTTCCTACACTTGTAAGGAGAGGAAGATCTGGAGGAGGAACAGGAGATGTACTCCTTGAACTTCTGCTGATCGAACTCGTATTCGAACTCTTTATCCATATGAACCTTGATCAGTGGCTGAGGCACGACAACCTCAGCAGTGAGGTTGTAAGCTCTCATTGTGGTCGCCAGCGTGTTCGCGTCGGAAATCGGTTTTATTGCTTTTGAATCCATTACAACTTCAGGTGGTATAACGATTCAAAATAAATAAAGTTTATTCTTTTTATAAGACTTCTCTTACAATGAAAATAAAATAGATGACTTCTTGAGAACACACGCAGAGAGATCGTTTATCGATTTTCTGCTTGCGTAGGATCTTTACTGGTACCGGGGTTTATCCGTAGACCACCAACTAATCATATCCGAATAAAGATTTTGTTGCCTCGTAAAGGAGATAAGAAATTGAAGTGACTATCTCGGCAACAGCGAGACAATCACTCTTCTCAAGAATCACAGCTAGGTGCGATCTCAAGGGAAATGGATGAACGGGATGCAGATCTCTTGAACTCTTCCTCTCTTTGTGATAAAGAACTCACCAAGATCTCTTTCTCTTCTCTGAAATTCGTGCTCCTCACTCTTTAATTCGACAGGGCTTCGCCTAAACTCGAGAATTTCAGATCTGTATAAATGAAGGCCCTAGGGCCATATATAGGTTTTAGAAGCTCGGTTTTTGGATAAAAATGGTTGATTTGCTCTCATCTTCAGTTGTAACCACTTAACCAAGTTCAAAGATAGCTTCAAATCAGTTGGGGAGGCTTTGGATCTGAATATACCAAAATCCGGCTGAGACACAATTAGGGGTGCCAAACCGTATCCGAGGAATTATCCGTAACCGTATCCGTTAGGATACGAATATGGTTACTCAAATCTATTACCGATAGGATATGGTTGCGGATATGGTTTTGTAGTGAAATATCCGTATCCGTATCCGAAAATATCCGAATACATATTGGTAATACTCT